ATCGCTGTGCGCGACTTCAGTCCCAGGCGGTCGTCTTCCATCGTTGCTCCGTAAAGGACAACTACGCTGGACGTATCGGTGTGAGCGCCGTCTAACCTGCCTGCTGTTCCGAATACCCGGTCGCCGCTGGAGGTGCTCGAGTTGGCGTCACAGGTTGCCGACGTGACAACAAGAAGACCAGCAAACCCTTCGCCATCTCAGCCGCTGTCCGCAACGACGAGGAGCTCTAACAAGCTTTCTCATCCGGTGTGCATTCGCACAGGAGGTGCTCCTGCGCCACATCCATGGCCGTTCTCCTGCCCAAGAAAGACCGTGCGGTGACAAGGAATAATCGCACACTCGTGCTGGCTGGCTCTCATCTAACCCACGGCCCTGCTTTAGGGCCACATAGGATCAGAACGAATACAATGGCAGAAAATGTCTCATCTTTATTGATATTGTTGTTGAATAAAATTTTTTATGCTGCAAAAAAAAAGTTGTGCTTGGCAATAGTACGGTACTTTTCGAATGAGAAAACCGAAAACTTCTCCTCTGTATTGGCAGGCCCAACAATCAGTGTTCGTGGAGGAAAATTCTGCGAGCTACTTTTGAACATTCGACACATAGATCACGATCCTGTGCCACATTTTGCTAGAGCTTGTACGTGAGCCAGTTTTATGGCATTCGTCTGGGCTTGATCAGTTGTTGGAACTTGACGATGACACCACTCACCGCTAGCCATTTGATCAAGCATATAGCGTGGAGGTACTGTTGGAGGAATACGGTCGGGAAGTCATTTTTTGTATTCTTGATGTGTTTCGCATGAGGCAAAAAACTTCAGTGATGAAAAACCATTAATACTAACCGAGAATATCGCTATGGCCCTATAAGTTATGTCATCCCACTGTTATCCAAGTAGGTACTATACAATCATTTATAGAATGCGCCTTCTCACGCTGTTCGATATTACTAGACGATCCTCTATCCGCCGCGCGGGACACTTCGTCCTCTATCACCACCACAGTCTCCCCGTCCGTAGGATTGACGCCGCTTTGCAGAGGTCAGCTTTGCAATTTTCGCGCCACATCATCACACAATGGAACGTACGCCATGGCGTGGGGGTCGGCTTGGCAAGCTGCCCAAGTTAGCTCCTATTCATGGACATGAGACGAGTAGTAAGCGCTGTCAAGACACACTGAATTACCGAGCGACACAACTACCCTCTATGAAGGGACTATTAACAAAAATTTCTTTTTTGTAACTTCAGCTCAAATCGTCTGTAATTCTGCATTCGAAAACAAAGCAGAATTACCATAACTGACAGCTCATCACTCGAGCACGACCACTCCTCATCAACACAAACTAATACAACTGTAGGAACATTTATTCAAGCAAATACTTCAACGTGTTTGTATTTTCGTTCACGTTTCAATTGTGCCCTAAGAGGGCCGTTGGGTTAGTTTTACAAGTGAGTCTCGTGGGCGAGGCTTCTTCTTATCCTCCGAAACCGTACAGGGTACGTCCTTGGCGTTTCAGCGCGTAGACGACGTCAATGGCGGGACGGTCTTTCTCTTGGCTGCTCACAGTAGTGACCGCATCACGGATCACATTCTCAAGGAACACCTGGAGAACTCACGAGTCTCCTCGTAGATCAGACCAGAGATACGTTTCACTCCACCACGACGAGCGAGACGACGGATTGCCGGCTTGGTGATGCCTGGATGTTGTCGCGAAGAACTTGCGATGGCGTTTGGCTCCTCCTTGCCGAGTCCCTTGCCTCCTTTTCCACGTCCGGACATTGTTGCGATCGAGTTGTTGCACTCACGAATGAGATACCGACTCACCGACGCGCGCCCCTTATATACACCCTCGCCGGGTATCCACGCGGGGCCCCAACGCCGACTATTGCGCTCAACACCACCCTCCCCTACATGCTAACTCTTCACCACACTAATAAAAAAAAAAACGTTCTTCTACTATTTGAACACTATACCGAACAAGCACACTATATTACACATTTATTCAAGCAAACATTTATTTTCATTATGATTATTATATGTATTTTCTTTCACTGAGCAATATATGTGGCCCTAAAGAGGGCCGTTGGGTTAGATTGAGATCAACTCGCTATGCGCTCGAACTTAAGCACGTTCACCGCGGATACGGCGAGCCAGCTGGATGTCCTTGGGCATGATGGTGACACGCTTGGCATGGATAGCGCACAGGTGGTGTCTTCGAAAAGACCAACGAGGTACGCCTCAGAGCCTCCTGGCAGAGCCATCACAGCCGATGATTGGAACGCAGATCGTCTTGAAATCTTGAGCGATTTCACGGACCAGACGCTGGAACGGCAGTTTGCGGATGAGCAGCTCGGTCGACTTCGGTAAGCACGGATCTCACGAAGAGCGACGGTTCCCGGCGGTAACGATGAGGCTTCTTCACACTCCGGTTGCCGTGCTGACTTGCGAGCGCCTTAGGGCAACTGCTTTCGTGGGCCTTGCCTCCAGTAGATTTACGAGCGGTCTGCTTGTACGAGCCATTGATTGCTGATGCTGAGTGTCCTGAACGAACGATAGGCCATTCGACGCTGTTACCCTTTTATACGCGCTTTACGCGAGGGCGGAGCCTATTCGTAGCTGACCCTGGCGCTGCCCCCCCTCACATCTTCCCGTAATATTGCCGCCAAAAATGGTCTGCTTGAACATGAAAGTTTGCATTTTTGTATGCAGTTTGGTTAATGCATGGAGAACTAAGAACATTGATGCGAGGGGAGGGAACATTTGCGCGCAATAGTTTGTGCCGCCTGCAGTAATCTCAATTTTTGGAGAGGAGGGGGAAGCTCTGGAATGTGTGAACGATTCCGTTTTCGCCTTTACACTCATCTCATAGATGCTTCCTTCTCTGTAAAAAAGGGATTATTGTATGCGGCAGAAATGATTGCGGCAAACCACCTGCTTTCTTGGCGATTACCCAGAACTTTAATGGCAGTATCATTCATGGTGCCTTTGGTTTTGGTGAATTGAACCTGTCGACAAAAATCGCAAGAGTGGTTACTGTTTAACAACTGCTTGACAATGATGTAGGCCACAATTCCCAGGAGAATCTTTTTTTCTGGGGTTATATCAACACCGGCTATTACGAAAAACGAAAATTCTAGCTTTGCAACCGTTAGCGAAACTGTTATTTTCGTTCAAGAAATCGATGTAACACTCAAATTAGGAGGAAATTCTGAACTAGATGAAATCAGCGAAAAGAAACTCAATTACGGTGTAGTGATATAAGCAGGTAAACCATGCGAATACGTTGCAGCAGGCGATGAGTATGTGCGGCCAGGTGGCATGCAGTATCGCTTCTCGGCCTTTTGGCTAAGAGTCAAAGTTTAGTTTCTGTTCTTATCGAATTAACCTTCGATAGAGATTCGAATGAATCTCGTTAAGGTTATTTGATTTTTGAGACCGGACGAGGTCGTGGCTTGCTCGCGCCTCGTCACGCGGTCGGCCCAGCGTTGCACTGCTGTTGGGATCGGCCACCCCTCAGGGGGAATCAAAACGAAGAAACCATTAGGGAAAAATCAAGTGATGGGAGTGGTGTTACGACGCGGATACCAAGTATTGAATTGGGGTTGATGTTGGCACGATCACCATTTCATGATGACTGACAAGAATTGTAGGTATATGGGACAAAATGTATCGTAAGGTGACCTGAGCAATTACCACATTAATGAACGTCAACTCAAACCGGCCAGATATACGAGCGATCAGATGGTACTGTAGTCATTGTGGGTGTTGGAGGCAACTCTTGGCTCCTTTGCATTTAACCGAGTAAATCTTTCGCCTTTTACTAAAGATTTCCGTGCAAGGTGCAATCATGAGAATTACCTAATTTTTGGAATCCCTCGAAAGAGCGGGATACAATATTGCAGTTAAGTTACGCAGAAATACGCTGATTTCAGTGTAGGTGTAATGGAATGGATTTTCACTTGATTCCTGAGTGAGAAAGAGCTCTTTGTCGAGTTAACCAATGGGCTAAGCAAGAAGAGTTTTATTTTTCCGAATTATGGGAGGAATGCTTCATTCATTCTGTGCATCTTCCTCACTCTTGGGTGAAGCAGAAAAAATTCTATCTGCGGTATCTGATGCTCTCAACCATATTCATACCCCCCCCCTTTCCCCTTTGGTTAATCTAGTTAATTCTATAAATTTGACCAAAATACCGTTCTTCCGTTCCAATATGCACAACCAAAATCTCGATTCTCAACAAATTCGCAGAGATTCGGATTCGATTTAGCGATGATAAATTCCTCCAACCAGATCCAATGTACTAATGCGATACCTCCAATTATTGGGACTGATTCAACCAATAGGGACAATAATGCTACATCGAGTATAGAGTAAAAAAAATTTACATTCAGTTACACGCGTTAATCCACGATTTGATCCCCGTATTATAGATGTGTTATACGACGCCCGCTCACCACTACATTTTTTTCTCCAAAAATCCTTCCACCTCTACAGGGTCGATCTATCCATCCCTTGTTCATCCAGGACTGTAAAAATGGGAATTTTGTCAGTCGCAGGCCACAAACCACTGTACAGAATGACCATTTATTCATACACCTCTAAGATCCTCAATGAAAGTCGAAAGTGTGGCACATCCAAAAGAACGGGATCAGTGATCGAGAGCGCTACTCGTCCTTCCTCTTCATCGCACGTCGCAAAAGCATACTATTTTACAATAAACAAACACAAAATAATACATTTTATAAAAATACTTTATTTCATTTCAACGCTAAAGAATTGTATTCGTTTCTGTGTACAATGTGGCCCTAAAGAGGGCCGTTGGGTTAGATGAACGTGCACCGAGAACAAGTAATGATTTACTTGCTTGAGGTGTACTTGGTGACGGCCTTGGTGCCTCGGAGACGGCGTGCTTGGCGAGCTCTCCGGGAAGGATCAGTCGAACAGCAGTCTGGATTTCGCGAGACGAGATCGTCGAACGCTTGTTGTAGTGCGCCAGACGAGATGCCTCAGCACGATGCGCTCGAAAACGTCATTCACGAACGAGTTCATGATCGACATGGCTTTCGAGGAGACACCGGTGTCGGGGTGCACCTGCTTGAGCACACGGTAGATGTAGACCGAGTAGCTCTCCTTACGCTTGTGCTTCCTCTTCTTGTCTCCAGTACGGCTGGCCTTCTGGCTCTTCGCGGCTTTCTTGGCTCCCTTGGCGACGGCTTTGGTGGCATCGTTGAACGGTTGATACACGAGGTGGTCACTGGCTAGTCAGTGGATGGGGTGACGCTCATCGCATGCCGCTATATTACCGACTTACGGACAATGCTCGCCCATCGGTGCTACCAGTCGTGTGGGCTGTCCCGCCTGTTGACGCTCGCTGGGCGGAGCATTAGCACAGCATTTGGTATAATTGCTGCGCCGATTCCGCTCTAATTTACCCGTGAGTGTTCATCTCGCAGTCTCAGTCGTCGTCAATCATGTCTGGACGTGGAAAAGGAGGCAAAGCCAAGACCGGAGGAAAGTCGAAGTCGCGTTCATCGCGTGCTGGACTTCAGTTCCCAGTCGGTCGTCTTCATCGTATGCTCCGTAAAGGAAACTACGCTGGACGTATCGGTGGTGGAGCTCCCGTCTACCTGGCCGCTGTTCTCGAATACCTCGCCGCTGAGGTGCTCGAGTTGGCCGTAACGCTGCTCGTGACAACAAGAAGACCAGAATCAACCTCGCCATCTCCAGCTCGCTGTCCGCAACGACGAGGAGCTCAACAAGCTTCTCTCCGTGTGACCATCGCACAAGGAGGTGTCCTGCCAAACATCCAGGCCGTTCTCCTGCCCAAGAAGACCGCCGGTGACAAGGAATAAGCGCACACTCGTGCTGGCTGCTCTCATCTAACCCAACGGCCCTCTTTAGGGCCACATATGATCAGAAACGAATACACATTTGAGAAAAATGTCTCATCTTATTGATATTGTGTTGAATAAATTTTTATGTGCAAAAAAAAGTTGTGGCTTGTCAAATAGTACGGTAGTTTTCGAATGAGAAAACCGAAAACTTCTCCTCTTATTGGCAGCCCAACAATTAGTGGTTTGGAGGAAATTCTGCGCTACTTTTGACATTCGACACATAGATCACGATCCTGTGCACATTTTGCTAGAGCTTGTACGTGACGCAGTTTATGCATTCGTCTGGGCTTATCAGTTTGGAACTGAGCACCACTCAACCGCTAGCCCATTTGATCAAGCATAAGGTGGAGTACTGTTGGAGGGAATACGGTCCGGGAATCATTTTTTGTTATTCTTGATTTGTTTCGCTAGGAAAAAACTCAGATGAAAATAATAATAACCGAGAATATCCGCTAGGCCCAATAATTATGTCATCCACTGTATCCTAAGGTACTAACAATCATTTATAGAATGACCCTTCTCACGCTGTTCGATTACTGGACGATCCTCTATCGCGCCGCGGACCCTTCTATCACCACCACAGTCTCCCGTCGTGGATGACGCCGTTGCAAGGTCAGCTTTGAATTTTCGCGCCACACACACACACAATGAAACGACGCCATGGCGTGGGGTCGGCTTGGCAAGCTGCCCAAGTAGCTCCTATTCATGGACATGAGACGAGCTATGTAAGCGCTAGACACACTGAATTACGAGCGACACAAACTACCCTCTATTGAAGTGACTATTAACAAAACATTTTCTTTTTGTAATCTTCAGCTCAAATCGTCTGTAATTCTGCATTCGAAAACAAAGCAGAATACCATAACTGACAGCTCATCACTCGAGCACGACCACTCCTCATCAACACAAACTAATACAACTGTAGGAAACATTTATTCAAGCAAATACTTCAACGTGTTGTATTCGTTCACGTTTCAATTGTGGCCCTAAAGAGGCCGTGGGTTAGTTTTACAAGTGAGTCTCGGGCGAGAGCTTTCTTTATCCTCCGAAACCGTACAGGGTACGTCCTTGGCGTTTCAGCGCGTAGACGACGTCCATGGCGGTGACGGTCTTTCTCTTGGCGTGCTCACAGTAGGTGACCGCATCACGGATCACATTCTCAAGGAACACCTTGAGAACTCCACGAGTCTCCTCGTAGATCAGACCAGAGATACGTTTCACTCCACCACGACGAGCGAGACGACGGATTGCCGGCTTGGTGATGCCTTGGATGTTGTCGCGAAGAACTTTGCGATGGCGTTTGGCTCCTCCTTTGCCGAGTCCCTTGCCTCCTTTTCCACGTCCGGACATTGTTGCGTCGAGTTGTTGCACTCACGAATGAGATACCGACTCACCGACGCGCGCCCTTATATACACCCTCGCCGGTATCCACGCGGCGGCCCAACGCCGACTATGCGCTCAACACCACCCCTCCCCTACATGCTAACTCTTCACCACACTAATAAAAAAAAAAAGTTCTTCCTACTTATTGAACACTATACCGAACAAGCACACTATATTACACATTTATTCAAGCAAACATTTATTTTCATTATGATTATTTATAGTATTCGTTTCACTGAGCAATATATGTGGCCCTAAAGAGGGCGTTGGGTTAGATTGAGATCAACTCGCTATGCGCTCGAACTTAAGCACGTTCACCGCGGATACGGCGAGCCAGCTGGATGTCCTTGGGCATGATGGTGACACGCTTGGCATGGATAGCGCACAAGTTGGTGTCTTCGAAAAGACCAACGAGGTACGCCTCAGAGGCCTCCTGGAGAGCCATCACAGCCGATGATTGGAAACGCAGATCGGTCTTGAAATCTTGAGCGATTTCACGGACCAGACGCTGGAACGGCAGTTTGCGGATGAGCAGCTCGGTCGACTTCTGGTAACGACGGATCTCACGAAGAGCGACGGTTCCCGGCGGTAACGATGAGGCTTCTTCACACCTCCGGTTGCCGGGGCTGACTTGCGAGCGGCCTTAGTGGCCAACTGCTTTCGTGGGCCTTGCCTCCAGTAGATTTACGAGCGGTCTGCTTGGTACGAGCCATTGATGCTGATGCTGAGTGTCCTGAACGAACGATAGGCCATTCGGACGCTGTTACCCTTTTATACGCGCTTTACGCGAGAGGGCGGAGCCTATTCGTAGCTGACCCTGGCGCTGCCCCCCCCCTCACATCTTCCCCTGTAATATTGCGCCAAAATGGTCTGCTTGAACATGAAAGTTGCATTTTTGTATGCAGTTTGGTTAATTGCAGAGAGAACTAAGAACATTGATGCTAGGGGGAGGGAACATTTGCCGCAATAGTTTGTGCCGCCTGCAGTAATCTCAATTTTGGAGAGAGGAGGAGGAGCTCTGGAATGTGTGAACGATTCCGTTTTCGCTTTACACTCATCTCATAGATGCTTCCTTCTCTGTAAAAAATGGGATTATTGTATGCGGCAGAAATGATTGCGGCAAACCACCTGCTTCTTTGGCGATTACCCCAGAACTTTAATGGCAGTATCATTCATGGCCTTTTGGTTTGGTGAATTGAACCTGTCGACAAAATCGCAAGGAGTGGTTACTGTTTAAACACCTGTGACAATGATGTAGGCCACAATTCCCAGGAGAATCTTTTTTTTCTGGCGTTATATCAACACCCGGCTATACGAAAAACGAAAATTCTAGCTTTGCAACCGTTAGCGAAACTATTATTTTCGTTCAAGAAATCGATGTAACACTCAAATTAGGAGGAAATTCTGAACTAGATGAAATCAGCGAAAAGAAACTCAATTATGTGTAGTGATATAAGCAGGTAAACCCATGCGATATACGTTGCAGCATGCGATGAGTATGTTGCGGCCAGGTGCATGCAGTATCGCTTCTCGGCCTTTTGGCTAAGATCAAAGTTTAGTTTCTGTTCTTATCGAATTAACCTTCGATAGAGATTCGAATGAATCTCGTTAAGGTTATTTGATTTTTGAGACCGGACGAGGTCGTGGGCTTGCTCGCGCCTCGTCACGGGTCGGCCAGCGTTGCACTGCTGTTGGGATCGCCCACCCCTCAGGGGAATCAAAACGAAGAAACCATTAGGAAAAATCAAGTGATGGGAGGTAGGTGTACGACGCGGATACCAATGATTGAATTGGGTTGATGTTGGCACGATCACCATTTCATGATGACTGACAAGAATTGTAGGATATGGGACAAAATGTATCGTAAGGTGACCTGAGCAATTACCACATTAATGAACGTCAACTCAAACCGGCCAGATATACGACGCATCAGATGGTACTGTAGTCATTGTGGGTGTTGAGGGCAACTCTGGCTCCTTTGCATTTTACCGAGTAAATCTTTCGCCTTTTACTAAAGATTTCCGTGCAAAGGTGCAATCATGAGAATTACCTAATTTTTGGAATCCCTCGAAAGAGCGGATACAATATTGCAGTTTAAGTACGCAGAAATACGCTGATTTCAGTGTAGGTGTAATGGAATGGATTTTCACTTGATTCCTGAGTGAGAAAGAGCTCTTTGTCGAGTTAACCAATGGGCTAAGCAAGAAGAGTTTTATTTTTCCGAATTATGGGAGGAATGCTTCATTCATTCTGTGCATCTTTCCTCACTCTTGGGGTGAAGCAGAAAAAATTCTATCTGCCGGTATCTGATGCTCTCAACCATATTCATACCCCCCCCTTCCCCCTTTGGTTAATCTAGGTAATTCTATAAATTTGACCAAAAATACCGTTCTTCCGTTCCAATATGTACAACCAAAATCTCGATTCTCAACAAATTCGCAGAGATTCGGATTCGATTTAGCGATGATAAATTCCTCCAACCAGATCCAATGTACTAATGCGATACCTCCAATTATTTGGACTGATTCAACAATAGGGACAAATAATGCTACATCGAGTATAGAGTAAAAAAAATTTACATTCAGTTCACGCCGTTATCCACGATTTATCCCCGTATTATAGATGTGTTATACGACGCCGCTCACCACTACATTTTTTCTCCAAAAATCTTCACTCTACAGGGTCGATCTATCCATCCCTTGTTCATCCAGGACTGTAAAAATGGGAAATTGTCAGTCGGCAGGCCACAAACCACTGTACAGAATGACCATTTATTCATACACCTCTAAGATCCTCAATGAAGTCGAAAGTGTGGCACATCCAAAAGAACGGGATCAGTGATCGAGAAGCGCTACTCGTCCTTTCCTCTCATCGCACGTCGCAAAAGCATACTATTTACAATAATCAAACACAAAATAATACATTTTATAAAAATACTTTATTTCATTTCAACGCTAAAGAATTGTATTCGTTTCTGTGTACAATTGTGGCCCTAAAGAGGGCCGTTGGGTTAGATGAACGTGCACCGAGAGCAAGTAATGATTTACTTGCTTGAGGTGTACTTGGTGACGGCCTTGGTGCCCTCGGAGACGGCGTGCTTGGCGAGTCTCTCGGAGGATCAGTCGAACAGCAGTCTGGATTTCGCGAGACGAGATCGTCGAACGCTTGTTGTAGTGCGCCAGACGAGATGCCTCAGCAGCGATGCGCTCGAAAACGTCATTCACGAACGAGTTCATGATCGACATGCTTTCGAGGAGACACCGTGTCGGGGTGCACCTGCTTGAGCACACGGTAGATGTAGACCGAGTAGCTCTCCTTACCGCTGCTTCCTCTTCTTGTCTCCAGTACGGCTGGCCTTCTGGCTCTTCGCGGCTTTCTTGGCTCCCTTGGCGGACGGCTTTGGGGTGCATCGTTGAACGGTTGATACACGAGGTGGTCACTGGCTAGTCAGTGGATGGGGTGACGCTCATCGCATGCCCGCTATATTACCGACTTACGGACAATGCTCCGCCCATGCGTGCTACAGTCGTGTGTGGCTGTCCCGCCTGTTGACGCTCGCTGGGCGGAGCATTAGCACAGCATTTGGTATAATTGCTGCGCCGATTCCGCTCTAATTTACCCGTGAGTGTTCATCTCGCAGTTCTCAGTCGTCGTCAATCATGTCTGGACGTGGAAAAGGAGGCAAAGCCAAGACCGGAGGAAAGTCGAAGTCGCGTTCATCGCGTGCTGGACTTCAGTTCCCAGTCGGTCGTCTTCATCGTATGCTCCGTAAAGGAAACTACGCTGGACGTATCGGTGGTGGAGCTCCGTCTACCTGGCCGCTTTCTCGAATACCTCGCCGCTGAGGTGCTCGAGGTGGCCGGTAACGCGCTGCTCGTGACAACAAGAAGACCAGAATCAACCCTCGCCATCTCCAGCTCGCTGTCCGCAACGACGAGGAGCTCAACAAGCTTCTCTCCGGGTGTGACCATCGCACAAGGAGGTGTCCTGCCAAACATCCAGGCCGTTCTCCTGCCCAAGAAGACCGCCGTGACAAGGAATAAGCGCACACTCGTGCTGGCTGCTCTTCATCTAACCCAACGGCCCTCTTTAGGCCACATATGATCAGAACGAATACACATTTGGAGAAAAGTCTCATCTTATTGATATTGTGTTGAATAAAATTTTTATGTGCAAAAAAAAAGTTGTGGCTTGTCAAATAGTACGGTAGTTTTCGAATGAGAAAACCGAAAACTTTCTCCTCTTATTGGCAGCCCACAATAGTGGTTTGGAGGAAATTCTGCGCTACTTGACATTCGACACATAGATCACGATCCTGTGCACATTTTGCTAGAGCTTGTACGTGAGCCAGTTTATGCATTCGTCTGGGCTTATCAGTTTGGAACTAGCTGAGCACACTCAACCGCTAGCCATTTGATCAAGCATAGGTGGAGGTACTGTTGGAGGAATACGGTCCGGGAATCATTTTTTGTTATTCTTGATTTGTTTCGCTTAGGAAAAAACTCAGATGAAAAATAATAATAACCGAGAATATCGCCCTAGCGCCAATAATTATGTCATCCACTGTAATCCTAAGGTACTAACAATCATTTATAGAATGACCTTCTCACGCTGTTCGATTACTGGACGATCCTCTATCGCGCCGCGGACCCTTCTATCACCACCACAGTCTCCGTCGTGGATGACGCCGTTGCAGGTCAGCTTTGAATTTTCGCGCCACACACACACAATAAAACGACGCCATGGCGGTGGGTCGGCTTTGGCAAGCTGCCAAGTATGCTCCTAATTCATGGACATGAGACGAGCTATGTAAGCGCTAGACACACCTGAATTACCGAGCGACACAACTACCCTCTATTGTAAGTGACTATTAACAAAACATTTCTTTTTGTGATCTTCAGCTGCAAATCGTCTGTAATTCTGGCATTCGAAAACAAAGCGAAATACCATAACTGACAGCTCATCACTCGGGCACGACCACTCCTCAATCAACACAAACTAATACAACTGTAGGAAACATTTATTCAAGCAAATACTTCAACGTGTTTGTATTCGTTGCACGTTTCAATTGGTGGCCCTAAAGAGGGCCGTTGGGTTAGTTTTACAAGCGTTGAGTTCGTGGGCGAGAGCTTCTTCTTATCCTCCGAAACCGTTACAGGGTACGTCCTTGGCGTTTACAGCGCGTAGACGACGTCCATGGCGGTGACGGTCTTTCTCTTGGCGTGCTCACAGTAGGTGACCGCATCACGGATCACATTCTCAAGGAACACCTTGAGAACTCCACGAGTCTCCTCGTAGATCAGACCAGAGATACGTTTCACTCCACCACGACGAGCGAGACGACGGATTGCCGGCTTGGTGATGCCTTGGATGTTGTCGCGAAGAACTTTGCGATGGCGTTTGGCTCCTCCTTTGCCGAGTCCCTTGCCTCCTTTTCCACGTCCGGACATTGTTGCGATCGAGTTGTTGCACTCACGAATGAGATACCGACTCACCGACGCGCGCCCCTTATATACACCCTCGCCGGGTATCCACGCGGGGCCCCCAACGCCGACTATGCGCTCAACACCACCCCTCCCCTACATGCTAACTCTTCACCACACTAATAAAAAAAACGTTCTTCCTACTTATTTGAACACTATACCGAACAAGCACACTATATTACACATTTATTCAAGCAAACATTTATTTTCATTATGATTATTATATGTATTCGTTTCACTGAGCAATATATGTGGCCCTAAAGAGGGCCGTTGGGTTAGATTGAGATCAACTCGCTATGCGCTCGAACTTAAGCACGTTCACCGCGGATACGGCGAGCCAGCTGGATGTCCTTGGGCATGATGGTGACACGCTTGGCATGGATAGCGCACAAGTTGGTGTCTTCGAAAAGACCAACGAGGTACGCCTCAGAGGCCTCCTGGAGAGCCATCACAGCCGATGATTGGAAACGCAGATCGGTCTTGAAATCTTGAGCGATTTCACGGACCAGACGCTGGAACGGCAGTTTGCGGATGAGCAGCTCGGTCGACTTCTGGTAACGACGGATCTCACGAAGAGCGACGGTTCCCGGGCGGTAACGATGAGGCTTCTTCACACCTCCGGTTGCCGGTGCTGACTTGCGAGCGGCCTTAGTGGCCAACTGCTTTCGTGGGGCCTTGCCTCCAGTAGATTTACGAGCGGTCTGCTTGGTACGAGCCATTGATGCTGATGCTGAGTGTCCTGAACGAACGATAGGCCATTCGGACGCTGTTACCCTTTTATACGCGCTTTACGCGAGAGGGCGGAGCCTATTCGTAGCTGACCCTGGCGCTGCTCCCCCCCTCACATCTTCCCCTGTAATATTGCGCCAAAAATGGTCTGCTTGAACATGAAAGTTTGCATTTTTGTATGCAGTTTGGTTAATTGCATGGAGAACTAAGAACATTGATGCTAGGGGGAGGGAACATTTGCCGCAATAGTTTGTGCCGCCTGCAGTAATCTCAATTTTTGGAGAGGAGGGAGGAAGCTCTGGAATGTGTGAACGATTCCGTTTTCGCCTTTACACTCATCTCATAGATGCTTCCTTCTCTGTAAAAAATGGGATTATTGTATGCGGCAGAAATGATTGCGGCAAACCACCTGCTTCTTTGGCGATTACCCCAGAACTTTAATGGCAGTATCATTCATGGTGCCTTTTGGTTTTGGTGAATTGAACCTGTCGACAAAAATCGCAAGGAGTGGTTACTGTTTAACAACCTGTGACAATGATGTAGGCCACAATTCCCAGGAGAATCTTTTTTTTCTGCGGTTATATCAACACCGGCTATACGAAAAACGAAAATTCTAGCTTTGCAACCGTTAGCGAAACTGTTATTTTCGTTCAAGAAATCGATGTAACACTCAAATTAGGAGGAAATTCTGAACTAGATGAAATCAGCGAAAAGAAACTCAATTAATGTGTAGTGATATAAGCAGGTAAACCCATGCGATATACGTTGCAGCATGCGATGAGTATGTGCGGCCAGGTGCATGCAGTATCGCTTCTCGGCCTTTTGGCTAAGATCAAAGTTTAGTTTCTGTTCTTATCGAATTAACCTTCGATAGAGATTCGAATGAATCTCGTTAAGGTTATTTGATTTTTGAGACCGGACGAGGTCGTGGGCTTGCTCGCGCCTCGTCACGGGTCGGCCCAGCGTTGCACTGCTGTTGGGATCGGCCCACCCCTCAGGGGGAATCAAAACGAAGAAACCATTAGGAAAAATCAAGTGATGGGAGGTAGGTGTACGACGCGGATACCAATGATTGAATTGGGGTTGATGTTGGCACGATCACCATTTCATGATGACTGACAAGAATTGTAGGTATATGGGACAAAATGTATCGTAAGGTGACCTGAGCAATTACCACATTAATGAACGTCAACTCAAACCGGCCAGATATACGACGCATCAGATGGTACTGTAGTCATTGTGGGTGTTGAGGGCAACTCTGGCTCCTTTGCATTTAACCGAGTAAATCTTTCGCCTTTTACTAAAGATTTCCGTGCAAAGGTGCAATCATGAGAATTACCTAATTTTTGGAATCCCCTCGAAAGAGCGGGATACAATATTGCAGTTAAGTACGCAGAAATACGCTGATTTCAGTGTAGGTGTAATGGAATGGATTTTCACTTGATTCCTGAGTGAGAAAGAGCTCTTTGTCGAGTTAACCAATGGGCTAAGCAAGAAGAGTTTTATTTTTCCGAATTATGGGAGGAATGCTTCATTCATTCTGTGCATCTTTCCTCACTCTTGGGGTGAAGCAGAAAAAAATTCTATCTGCCGGTATCTGATGCTCTCAACCATATTCATACCCCCCCCCTTTCCCCCTTTGGTTAATCTAGGTAATTCTATAAATTTGACCAAAATACCGTTCTTCCGTTCCAATATGTACAACCAAAATCTCGATTCTCAACAAATTCGCAGAGATTCGGATTCGATTTAGCGATGATAAATTCCTCCAACCAGATCCAATGTACTAATGCGATACCTCCAATTATTTGGGACTGATTCAACCAATAGGGACAAATAATGCTACATCGAGTATAGAGTAAAAAAAATTTACATTCAGTTACACGCGTTAATCCACGATTTGATCCCCGTATTATAGATGTGTTATACGACGCCGCTCACCACTACATTTTTTTCCCCAAAAAATCCTTCCACCTCTACAGGGTCGATCTATCCATCCCTTGTTCATCCAGGACTGTAAAAATGGGAAATTTGTCAGTCGGCAGGCCACAAACCACTGTACAGAATGACCATTTATTCATACACCTCTAAGATCCTCAATGAAAGTCGAAAGTGTGGCACATCCAAAAGAACGGGATCAGTGATCGAGAGCGCTACTCGTCCTTTCCTCTTCATCGCACGTCGCAAAAGCATACTATTTTACAATAATCAAACACAAAATAATACATTTTATAAAAATACTTTATTTCATTTCAACGCTAAAGAATTGTATTCGTTTCTGTGTACAATTGTGGCCCTAAAGAGGGCCGTTGGGTTAGATGAACGTGCACCGAGAGCAAGTAATGATTTACTTGCTTGAGGTGTACTTGGTGACGGCCTTGGTGCCCTCGGAGACGGCGTGCTTGGCGAGCTCTCCGGGAAGGATCAGTCGAACAGCAGTCTGGATTTCGCGAGACGAGATCGTCGAACGCTTGTTGTAGTGCGCCAGACGAGATGCCTCAGCAGCGATGCGCTCGAAAACGTCATTCACGAACGAGTTCATGATCGACATGGCTTTCGAGGAGACACCGGTGTCGGGGTGCACCTGCTTGAGCACACGGTAGATGTAGACCGAGTAGCTCTCCTTACGCTTGTGCTTCCTCTTCTTGTCTCCAGTACGGCTGGCCTTCTGGCACTTCGCGGCTTTCTTGGCTCCCTTGGCGGACGGCTTTGGTGGCATCGTTGAACGGTTGATACACGAGGTGGTCACTGGCTAGTCAGTGGATGGGGTGACGCTCATCGCATGCCCGCTATATTACCGACTTACGGACAATGCTCCGCCCATCGGTGCTACAGTCGTGTGGGCTGTCCCGCCTGTTGACGCTCGCTGGGCGGAGCATTAGCACAGCATTTGGTATAATTGCTGCGCCGATTCCGCTCTAATTTACCCGTGAGTGTTCATCTCGCAGTTCTCAGTCGTCGTCAATCATGTCTGGACGTGGAAAAGGAGGCAAAGCCGAGGCCGGAGGAAAGTCGAAGTCGCGTTCATCGCGTGCTGGACTTCAGTTCCCAGTCGGTCGTCTTCATCGTATGCTCCGTAAAGGAAACTACGCTGGACGTGTTCTTTCTACTTTTTTGACACACTATACCGAACAAGACACACTATATTCACATTTATTCAAGCAAACATTTATTTTCATTATGATTATTATATGTATTCGTTTCACTGAGCAATATATGTGCCCTAAGAGGGCCGTTGGGTTAGATTGAGATCAACTCGCTATGCGCTCGAACTTAAGCACGTTCACCGCGGATACGGCGAGCCAGCTGGATGTCCTTGGATGATGGTGACACGCTTGGCATGGATAGCGCACAAGTTGGTGTCTTCGAAAAGACCAACGAGGTACGCCTCAGAGGCCTGGAGAGCCATCACAGCCGATGATTGGAAACGCAGATCGGTCTTGAAATCTTGAGCGATTTCACGGACCAGACGCTGGAACGGCAGTTTGCGGATGAGCAGCTCGGTCGACTTCTGGTAACGACGGATCTCACGAGAGCGACGGTTCCCGGCGGTAACGATGAGGCTTCTTCACACACTCCGGTGCCGGTGCTGACTTGCGAGCGGCCTTAGTGGCAACTGCTTTCGTGGGCCTTGCCTCCAGTAGATTTACGAGCGGTCTGCTTGGTACGAGCCATTGATGCTGATGCTGAGTGTCCTGAACGAACGATAGGCCATTCGGACGCTGTTACCCTTTTATACGCGCTTTAGCGGAGAGGGCGGAGCCTATTCGTAGCTGACCCTGGCGCTGCTCCCCCCTCACATCTTCCCTGTAATATTGCGCCCAAAATGTTTGCTTGAACATGAAAGTTTGCATTTTTGTATGCAGTTTGGTTAATTGCATGGAGAACTAAGAACATTGATGCTAGGGGGAGGGAACATTTGCCGCAATAGTTGTGCCGCTGCAGTAATCTCAATTTTTGGAGAGGAAGGAGGAAGCTCTGGAATGTGTGAACGATTCCGTTTTCGCCTTTACACTCATCTCATAGATGCTTCCTTCTCTGTAAAAAATGGGATTATTGTATGGCGCAGAAATGATTGCGGCAAACACCTGCTTCTTTGGCGATTACCCCGAACTTTAATGGCAGTATATTCATGGTGCCTTTGGTTTTGGTGAATTGAACCTGTCGACAAAAATCGCAAGGAGTGGTTACTGTTTAACAACCTGTGACAATGATGTAGGCCACAATTCCCAGGAGAATCTTTTTTTTTTGCGTTATATCAACACCGGCTATACGAAAAACGAAAATTCTAGCTGGACTTCAGTTCCCAGTCGGTCGTCTTCATCGTATGCTCCGTAAAGGAAACTACGCTGGACGTATCGGTGGTGGAGCTCCCGTCTACCTGGCCGCTGTTCTCGAATACCTCGCCGCTGAGGTGCTCGAGTTGGCCGGTAACGCTGCTCGTGACAACAAGAAGACCAGAATCAACCCTCGCCATCTCCAGCTCGCTGTCCGCAACGACGAGGAGCTCAACAAGCTTCTCTCCGGTGTGACCATCGCACAAGGAGGTGTCCTGCCAAACATCCAGGCCGTTCTCCTGCCCAAGAAGACCGCCGGTGACAAGGAATAAGCGCACACTCGTGCTGGCTGCTCTCATCTAACCCAACGGCCCTCTTTAGGGCCACATATGATCAGAAACGAATACACATTTGAGAAAAATGTCTCATCTTATTGATATTGTGTTGAATAAAATTTTTTATGTGCAAAAAAAAGTTGTGGCTTGTCAAATAGTACGGTAGTTTTCGAATGAGAAAACCGAAAACTTCTCCTCTTATTGGCAGCCCAACAATTAGTGGTTTGGAGGAAAATTCTGCGCTACTTTTGACATTCGACACATAGATCACGATCCTGTGCACATTTTGCTAGAGCTTGTACGTGAGCCAGTTTATGCATTCGTCTGGGCTTATCAGTTTGGAACTGAGCACCACTCAACCGCTAGCCCATTTGATCAAGCATAAGGTGGAGGTACTGTTGGAGGGAATACGGTCCGGGAATCATTTTTTGTTATTCTTGATTTGTTTCGCTAGGAAAAAACTCAGATGAAAAATAATAATAACCGAGAATATCCGCTAGGCCCAATAATTATGTCATCCACTGTATCCTAAGGTACTAACAATCATTTATAGAATGACCCTTCTCACGCTGTTCGATTACTGGACGATCCTCTATCGCGCCGCGGACCCTTCTATCACCACCACAGTCTCCCGTCGTGGATGACGCCGTTGCAAGGTCAGCTTTGAATTTTCGCGCCACACACACACAATGAAACGACGCCATGGCGTGGGGTCGGCTTGGCAAGCTGCCCAAGTAGCTCCTAATTCATGGACATGAGACGAGCTATGTAAGCGCTAGACACACTGAATTACCGAGCGACACAAACTACCCTCTATTGAAGTGACTATTAACAAAACATTTTCTTTTTTGTAATCTTCAGCTTCAAATCGTCTGTAATTCTGCATTCGAAAACAAAGCAGAATACCATAACTGACAGCTCATCACTCGAGCACGACCACTCCTCATCAACACAAACTAATACAACTGTAGGAAACATTTATTCAAGCAAATACTTCAACGTGTTTGTATTCGTTCACGTTTCAATTGTGGCCCTAAAGAGGGCCGTTGGGTTAGTTTTACAAGTGAGTCTCGTGGGCGAGAGCTTCTTCTTATCCTCCGAAACCGTACAGGGTACGTCCTTGGCGTTTCAGCGCGTAGACGACGTCCATGGCGGTGACGGTCTTTCTCTTGGCGTGCTCACAGTAGGTGACCGCATCACGGATCACATTCTCAAGGAACACCTTGAGAACTCCACGAGTCTCCTCGTAGATCAGACCAGAGATACGTTTCACTCCACCACGACGAGCGAGACGACGGATTGCCGGCTTGGTGATGCCTTGGATGTTGTCGCGAAGAACTTTGCGATGGCGTTTGGCTCCTCCTTTGCCGAGTCCCTTGCCTCCTTTTCCACGTCCGGACATTGTTGCGATCGAGTTGTTGCACTCACGAATGAGATACCGACTCACCGACGCGCGCCCCTTATATACACCCTCGCCGGGTATCCACGCGGGGCCCCCAACGCCGACTATGCGCTCAGCACCACCCCTCCCCTACATGCTAACTCTTCACCACACTAATAAAAAAAACTATCTTTTTGAACCCTACTGACGTATACCCCTCCTGTCTTGACGATAACAGTTCTACTTCTTGCAAAATCATTCAGCGGTCAACAGTTTTATTTCAAAACTTGACGAACAAAGTATCTCTTACTATCACCTTGCTATAGGACCATGGCTAGTAATTTGAAAGTTGCCACTAGGTTTGAACCATGACTTCTAAACAAACCTGGGACAAGCTCCACCTCTATGTGAATCCCTTGACGTAACATTTTCTTTTTTAAGCACTCAGTGGCAGAGGGCGGAGCCTAATGGTCGCTTGCTCAACTTTTATTTTGCCAAGCAACGAGCTTCTTTTTCTGCATAGCTACAGTGCATATCTACTTCTTTCGACGCCTCCCATGTTACCTTAAGAATTAGCACATAAGGCCCTGCCCAGAAAAGGTTCCTTAGCCATAATGAGGCATTCAAATTCAACGGTGTTCGTGATGTTGTGCAATTGCACTCATCGGCCCGAAAGTTTTTGTAACGTCGAGCGCCATGACAAGCGCAGTCTGCCAGCTTTTTTCTTAATTTAAATCTTCTTTCCTTCCTAAATTGGCCTTCTCATCTCTCAGTGGGTTTGGTTGTCAAGGGTGAGGAACCTAACTAAACTAGTTCTTTCTTTCGTCATGCGGTTATACCTTGCCTCGCTTAAATGTGTAGTTATTATATGTAGTGTTTCTTCTGTGATCACATTTTTCTGACCTTATCAATACATGAGTGACTTTTTGTGAATAGCGCTTGAAACTTAAACAGTGCTAATTACACAAAGAATGCGCTGAAGCTTGGAAATGCTGCATCTTCATTCTCACCATCTCTTCAATTTTTCTTAAAATGTTGTAGGGCTCTGAGTGCTGGACTGCGCGAAAAAGTAATTTCGAA